ATTCAAAAGCCCTACAAATCGATTTGTAGGGCTTTTTAACATGAAATTGGTGCAAAATCGAGTTACCCATTGCATATAACACATGTAGGTGTTGAAATTACCTGAAAAAATCGAAGCCCAAGCTCGATTTTGGTTGATTTCGAAATTTTTCGAAAAAAAAAAAATTTTCTGAAATTTTTGGAATGGGGGGTAATTGGAGAGAATTTTGAATTTTAGGGGTTTTAGAGAGATAAACTGTTTTTTACTTTGAACGGTAAATAGCACTTATTAGCCCGTAAAGAGCATTTTCTTTATTATTCTAGATATTTGTATTTCCATTATTACTAGGGGTATTGTTGACAAATCAAAATTAATATATTTACTAAAAATTGGAACTTATGGATTGGATTGATACAAGTAAAAGCTATTATTTTATGGCCTATAGCAAATTGTCCCTACTTAAGTATCTAACCCTAATTAAACCCTCATATAAACACATAATTTCCCAGCCCTCCACCGTCACTCACAGACGGGCGACCTTCTTATTTTTCTTCATCTATGCACTCTCCTGCTTTCCTTTTCTACTCCTTCAAATTTTATTCCCCATTTTTCTGGCCCCATATTTGAGGTACATATGTGAAAGATATCTCAAAATAGAACCTTGGTTTATGGAAGCGTAGAAATCTTAATTTTTTGTGCGCAGCCATCAAATTAACGGTTGGTCCATTTGGGGCCTCGTTTAGGGCATTCGTTGAAGTTGCCTTTTAGAAACTTATTAGGAGGTGCATGTCTTGTTAGGAGTTAGGCCCCTTTAAAATGATATATACTTGATAGTATTTTAATACAAATTATACATTGAAACAAATTGCTTCAAAGTTTGAAAACAAATTCATGATAATCCATATATCAAAAGTATTATGAAAAATCACAACCAATTTTTGACCAAGTCAATTTTTTTTTTATGAAAAGGGTGAAATGAATTTTAGACAGAGCATATTAAATTAAATAAAAGTGGGGAAAAAATAAAATCAAAACTGTCTGAAAAAACTTTCTAGAGTCTAAATAAATAAATAAATAATTCTCTAAACAATTATTTTTCTTTTTTATGGCTCGGTATTTACCACATGATTAAAGAAAATAAAATATTTTTACTATACCGTCATTATAACAATTACTATTACTTTCTAAAATCTAAATAGGCTAGTATCTTAAATTTTGTTTGATGATATGGATTGAACTAGTAGTTAAAATGAGTGTTGACGATATTACTTCTATTTCTTAAAAGTTTGGAAATTTTCCGAAATGCATATTGATTCTAATTTTGTATAAAAATTGGAAATTCCAATACTTTTTATACACAATTGAGATTCTGATCGAATTTTTTTCCGCACTAGCTAGTCAAAAATAAAAACACATAAAATAGCTCTAAATTCGAAAATTTCGGATCAAAATCGACAGAATTCAAAAGCTAATTTAAATATGTTATATATATTAAGTATGTTAGAGGGTAGTTGAGTTAGAAGTATTGACGTAAAAAAGGTGACGTCACACGAGATACGTATATTTCAAAGTGCATGTGATCTTACCAAGCTGCTTCCTACCGCATTCCAGGATGTTTCTTAGTTAGAGATTTTTATAAACCGAGTAATTAATTAACAAATATTAAATATTTTGTAGGCTCCATTTCTTTCTCCCCTTTAAGTATGCTTATCCCATCTTCACACTTTCCATCATCTTTTCCTTCTCCCATCTTATTAAAACCCTAGCTAGTACACCTCTTCTTTTATTTCTATACTTCAAAAGAAAAAAAAAAAAAAAAAAAAAAACCACTTTAATTTTTTTTTTTTTAAAAAAAGAAAACATTATTTTCAATCACAATAATTATTAGTTACGTACGTACTTTTAATTTGTATCCAAAAATGGCAGCCAAACGGTTTTTTGATGATGATGATGAGGATCACCCCAACCATAAACGGATCAAATCTAGACCTTCTTTTGCTTCGTAAGATCTTTATATATATATATATATGTGTGTGTGTGTGTGTGTGTGTGTCATTAATTATGTGTTCTTTAAAATAAAGCTTAATTAACTTGTGTTTTTTGTGTGTGGACTATATATATATATATATGAAAGAAAACTAATTAACTCGTGATTTGCTATTTTATGGTGACAGTGTAATCAGAGAAGTGGTTATGGTGAATTTCTTTGAGAATTTCTGCTCAGCCTTGGAACCAATGCTTCGGAAAGTGGTATTATACAATTAACTCCGATCCTTTTTTTTTTTTTTCTATATATCTATTTTTTCTATATATCTATGCCTATATCTATATGTATCTGTATAGATATATATAGAGAGAGAGTGTTGACAAATAAGAGAGAGATAGAGTCATAGAGAGAGAGAAAGACCGATTCAATTCCACTTGAAAGTATACAAAATGTTCTCGAAACCAAATTTTATAACAAGCGACGCAATTCTTGTTTCACACACACACACACACATACACACACACATATATATATATATATGGTAAATTACGGTCACTGCCCTGATACATGGTCAAATTACAAAAATATCTCTCATGTTTGAGTAATTACAATCATCCCTTTCAACTATAAGTCTTCTTTACACGTCCATCTTTACGGTGTCAAATTCAACATAATCATCTAGACACCGTGGAATATTCTCTATCTAGTTTGTACTCGTTTTGTGCAAAAATACAGTTTCTGATGCACCACTATCTGATATTTACAAGTCAATAGACACGTGTTATGATCATCTTATTTCATAATGCGGAGCTCGACGGGTATAAACTAGAGAATATTCCACATAATCTAGAAGATTCCACTAAATTTGCCACCGCAATGGTGAACGTGTAAGACGATTTATAATCGAGGGTGGTTGTAATTATGAAGGGTTTTTTTATAATTTGATCATAACTCGGGAGTGACCGTAATTTAACCCGTAAATATTTAATAATAAGACAATTGGTGACTAAATTAAAAAAAAATGGATTAGGTGAGCGAAGAAGTGGAAAATGGGCTGAAACGGCGTCGCATGAGCTCAAAACTACGAAGCCCTTCAATGAGAATGATCCATCATCAATTGGTGGGGCCCTCCTCACATACCCTACAGCTGTCATTCGCCAAAAGTCTGTCCCTCCCTATCTTCACCGGCACCAAAATCGTCGACGCCGATTTCAACCCTCTTCAGATCATTCTCGTCGACTCCGGCGCCGGCAAGTTGCCGACCTCACTCCCCTACCCAATCAAAGTTGAAATCGTGGTTCTCGACGGCGACTTCCCCAACAACAACGACGAGTGGACCACCGAAAAATTCGCGAAAAATGTGGTGAGAGAGAGGAGTGGAAAGAGGCCCTTGCTCACCGGAGATTTGAACCTCACCGTCAGGGACGGCGCTGCTTACGTCGGAGAAGTCGAATTCACCGACAACTCCAGCTGGATTCGGAGCAGGAAGTTCCGATTGGGTGCGAGAGTGGTGCATGGTACTAACGGTGAGGGCGTCGTCATACGCGAGGCCGTCTCCGAACCTTTTGTTGTTAAAGACCATCGCGGCGAATGTCAGTCTCTCTCTCTCTCTACTTGCGCTTTTCTTATTTTATTTTATTTTATTTTTCGTTACCGTTAGCGTTATCGATATAAATATATAATTTTTGAAATTAAAGAATTACACCAAAGTTTAGTTAACTAAGTAAATACTTATACAATTAATAATCAAATGAAGAAAACTAGTACTCCATATATACTAGTCGTGGATTTAAATATTTGTTGCTTTATTTCTTAATCACAAGAAACATTTTTTTTTTCTATTTGATTTTAGATTCTTATCCGCGTTTTATTTGATCAAATCCAATTAATTGCGTTGACTTGTCTTGGTGTTGACCTCTTCTTGTCTTTGATCAAGTTATTATTATATAAGATGATAGTACATTAACCGTATTTTATAAAAATGAAATAAAAAATGAAAGAATATTCTATATTATGGACTGAATCATAGTTTTCTTAGGCATTTCTCAATAGCATAGATTAAATTATATTAGCTACATTTCTAATAATTAATTAATGCATTAAAAAAAATAATCTAGCGGTTAGAGGAAGAGGGTCTGTTGATTGAAGTTTGTATCTCTTTGTCAATTACTATTACGTCAAACGTGTCTTACATTATTGGCCTAGTGTAGTTTACAGATATTTGATTGCGGGTCCCCTCTTTATGTTTATAGATAACAAAATTAGAATAAACTAATTAATTATTCAATTATATCAATCATAAGTATCTGTATGACAATTAGATTTCCTCACCTACTTTTAATTTGTCACAAGATTTTGATAAAACCTAATTTTGTAGTTAGTTAAGGTGTTCTCACATTAGGATTTGGTGTTAAATTTCTAAATCTAGTACTAAATATGATGTCTATTTCATATATTTCCAAATTTAATAATTAAGGACAATAATATTTTTTTTAGTCAATCTTGCAAAATTAATTGGGTAGTACGAGGAAGGCCCACTTTGATTTTATTGGATAGTCGTATCTAATATAATTAGGGATTTTAATTTTATTTTTTTCTCGAATGACTCTAAATCTTGTCAATTATAAGGCCATTTTAAAAATATTATTTTTACCCATATTAATAAATTAACCCTTGTTATATATACAGTCAAATTGACGTAACAACTAAGAAAAGCAATCAAATAATATATTCCTTTTTTTTTTTTTTGAAATAATCAAATAATAGATTCAATTAAACCAATAATATTATTATGAGTATAAACAACGCAAGTGGAGTCAACACACCGCGTTCATTACAAACCGACCTTAGATATATCATCGTCCCATAACTAATTCTAATTGTTTATTTTTTTGGTCAAAGCAATTTATAAGGAGAAGAGAATACATATTATATTAGACAAGTTGAGATAAATATTAAATGACTTCCAATCATTATCTATTTATAGGGTGAATTGCATTTTGCACCTTGAAAATAACATGGATTAGCACTTTGCACCCTTAAGTTTTAAAATTGTCAAATTGCACCCTGTAATTGCATATGGTCAAATGCACCCCACACCCATCGCTTTTCTTGGTGGTGTTTTTTTCTTTTAATATATATTTTTACATTATTATTTAATAATATTATAAATGAAACACAAATGTTGATTTTTCGTATCAAAATTGAAATTTTACATGAACTAAAAAGAAAAGATTTTTTTGTGATACAATTATATATATATATATATTTTTAAATAATTCAAAAGGTTGTAAGTTGTGCTCCAAAGAGCATCTAACATTATTAACATTAATATTTATATGACATATTTTATATGATTTATTCTAATTTTTTAAATCACAACAATCGATTATTAGTCTAGTTACATTCTAAACACAGGTTTTATGTTTTAATATTGTTTGTATAAATAGGCTTTGTTTGTCCTAATTGAATTTTCATAACTTTTGTCAAAAAATACTGAAACTTTAAAATTTTAAAATATCATGATATATCATATTTTTATAAAATATCACAAGAAACGTTTATACGATGCATTTTGTCATGAGATATTCAATTTGAGGGTGCATTCTGTCAATTCTAAAATTTAAGGGTGCAAAACGTCAATTCATTCCATTTTTAAGGTGCAAAATGCAAATCACCCGCTACTTATATTAAGTGGAATTATTTATCGAGTCAACCCAAATACAAAACTTGTACTCTTGCTCTGTATATCTAGTCATCTTTTGCTTTCAAAATGTATAAAGAATTAAGTCAAATCGAATTTTTCTGCTCAACCAACTTATTAACCTTCAATAAATCATCCATCCATTTCAAATAAATGGCAATTTGGATTTAAAAAAACTATTATATGACAATGTATAATTCTATACAGTAGAAACTCGATAAATTAATAACCTCGTTTAAATAATAAGTTTCTCGTTTAAATTAACATTTCAGTAAATTAGTAGAATTTGGTTGGTCCCGATTATTTTGATTTATAGAGGTTTAACTGTACAACGTGGTTAGTAATTAATTATTTTGAATTGTGATTAGTGTACAAGAAGCATCACCCACCAGCACTAGAGGATGAAGTGTGGAGGTTAGTGAAGATAGGTAAAGGTGGAGCTTTCCATCAGAAACTTTCTTCCCATGGCGTTCACACTGTCCAAGATTTCTTGAAGCTCTTCAATGTCGACTCTTCCAAACTCAAAAGGGTACAATTTTTTTTTTATTTATTACTTAATTATTCTTTGCCTATTCGTACGTTCAAACTCTTGGCAATGCGCAATTACATTTCCATCTCACTTTAATTATTTTCCAGAAATGAATTTGTGTTTGTTAAGGTTTCTATAATAATTACTTGGAAAATATTTCTCTTTTTTTAGATATGATGTGACTGCTACAGTACAAATATTTCGACTGCCACAAAAAAAATTATCTTCACTAAACAAATATTACTTTATTTTTTAGATTTATCTTATACAATATATTTTTCTCACACTTTAAAAAATTATTTGACTGCCACAATATGTTTTGTCTCATTTCAACTTATGAATAAATATTACTTTCGTTCTTCAATTATTCTCTGAAAATATATTTTTCCAAAATAAAATGAAAATAACTCCAAAATTCAAACAGTACCCTTGCTTTTTCTCTAGATTCTAAATATCAATCATGGCTTGGTAAAATAGATCGAGTAGTTTTCCACCTTTGACTTACACATTGTATGTGTGTAAAATATGTTTACATCTATCTATATACACTGTGTGTGATAGAATATAATCAGTTGAATTGCCTTCAATTTCTTTTAGAGAGAAGAAATATTATTTGATTGGTAATGATTTTTATTGGATTTTGATATACATAATATATATAGATAATTGGAGTTGGGATGTCGGAGAAAATGTGGGAAGTAACATTGAAACACGCGCAGAGTTGTGTGATGGGGACAAGGGTTTATATATGCCATGGCCACGACTACACACTCACTTTCAATCCTATCTGCCAGCTCATCAAGGCCGACTTAAGCGGTCAAGTTTTCTACGAACGCGACTTCAAAACGATGCAAACCGTAAGCACCACCACCACTTAGGTGGTGTTTGCAAACGTTTTTCCAAAGTGATTATGAGTTTTTTAATGTTTAAAAAAAACTGATTTTGACCAAAAAACAGCTCATAATCACTTTGGAAAAGCATTTGCAAACACCCTCTTAATCATCTAATTAATTAATTAATTGTAATTAAATAAATTAATCCGTTATTATGTGTATATGGTGTGGTGAGCAGGCTTATATTGAAAGCCTTGTGAAAGATGCATACGCCAAATGGAATTCATTGGAGGTATCTGACGGACTTGTCTACCACACACCACTTTTAACCCAAGGTATCAATTCCTTCCAACTTTATTCACAATATTAATAAATTAATTAATTAAAAAAAAATGATCGGTAACTTATGCATCCATTTCGCGGGAAGTTATATGTTATATCGAGTTATTTACACCATATTATAAATCGTTAACCGTAGATGAGGTCAAATAAACATCCAATGAACACATATACACATGTGTGTGTGATATTATGTGCAGATCTATGGTTAATATGCATCCGATCAGATGTTAATAACCCAGTGTAGCATATAATTTCTTCTATTTAACAAGAAGTTATATGCTACATCGGGTTATTTACACTAGATTATTTATTGTTAACCGTAGATGAGGTCAACTAAACACCCAATAAACATATACATATGTGTGTGCCTGTGTGATTATGTGCAAATCTATGGTTAATAGGCATCCGATCAGATCTTAATAACCCAGTTTAGCATATAATTTCGTCTATTTCGCGAGAAGTTATGTGCTACATCGGGTTATTTACACTAGGTGATTGTTAACTGTGGATGGTCAAAGAATCGTCCACTAAATACACATACACATGAGTGTACGTGATGGTTAACATCGGGTGTTAATAACCCAATGTAGCATACAATTTCCCCTATTTCCTAAACCCCACTAAACAAAAGAGACTTTTGAAAAGTTCTTGTGATAAGAGTCATTGTTAAATTCCTAATATTGTCTTGAAATGGTAATTTAATACATACAAAAACTTTTAATTTGAAGATTTGGTAATATTTTAATTGATAAAAGGAATAATTTAGTGAATTAATATGATTTTTTAATAGTTTAACTTCTAATTGTAACTAAGAGAACATTAGTTTTAGAAGTAGTAGTCTACATCTGATAAGGAAATGTCAACGGCTTTATGATGAATTTATTCATTTTGCTTTTGAGGAATGATGTGTTTATTTGACCACTTTGTAAGCCAAAAATGACATAAGAATAAAAAAAAATCACTTCTAGAATTAAATATATTGCCATTTTAAACTATAGATAATCATTAGGGATTTGGTATCTTAATATATAAACAAATGAAAGGGAGTAATTAATCTTTCTTGTAAAAAAAAAAAAAAAAGCGAGTATATAATCCTTTCACGGTGTTTGGCCGAGATTATAAGCTGTTAAAAAGAGTTTATAAGATGTTTAAGAGCTTATAAGTTCTTTTAAAGTACTTTTTAAAATAAGATCATAAAAATTTAGAAAGTAAGTTGTTGAAGAGCTTAAAACGTACCTCTAGCCGACAATTTTATTGAAGATCTAATAATGAGTAAAAATGGCTTACAAGCTCATTATCCAAACACTTTAAAGATCAATTTAAAAAATAAAACGTAATAACTTATCAACTCTTAAATTAACTTATCAAGATATTAGAGATATTAGAGTTTATCAGCTGTCTAAAATAAGTTTAGCCAAATGTACTAATTTTTGGAGAAATGATTGAAAAACACACTCGATCTATTATAACCTCCACCCCCCCCCCCCCCCCCCCCCCCCCCCCCCCCCCCCCCACACACACACACACACACACACACACTATATTTGATTTGTAGTATTTTAATTACAATTGTTACAAGTACTACTTTTTCTGATATTTCTTGGATGTGTGTGTGAAGTTAAGAAGCAATAGTAGGTGTGAAATAGACAGAATACTAAAGTGTGGGTGGTTGGATGCAGGTGATAAAGTAGTGGAGGGGCATTCGCAGCAAATAGTAGCAAGTGAGAGCAGCTGCTATTCAGGAATAATGCACAACAACAACAACAATAATAATAATAATGAAGCAGACTACTCAGATGAATGGGGACTCAATTCAAATTGGGATTAGTTACCTCTTTCTCTACCAATCTTCTTCCCATGTACATTTTCCAGAATTCATCACTTCTACTATTTCATATATATATATATATATATATATATACTATCTCACCATTTCATTGTGTACATATGTGTGAGTGTCTCTCTCTGTTTTAATGCTGTAATATATACATTTGTTACCATTTAATTTAGTACATATGTAAATGTTGTGATTTAAGGATACTTGATTTTTTAACAGTGTAAATCGGGCCGTGTGAGTCGGATTTTGGTAGACTCAAAAATTACAACTACCATCGGTCGTCTACCCCAGTTACAGTTAGTTGCGGTGGAGTGATATTTTAGCTCTAGTTTTATTTCATTAAAAGCGCATAGTAGTAAACCGAATCAATAAAAAACGAAAGAGAGGAATTTCGATAATACTGAAAGGGAACGAAAACATTTTCACCTTACAGATCCAACACGCGCAACAGATCAGATTCATAATCAAGAAAAAGCAACGACATACTAAAAGAATATACGTGTCGACCAAATTAATCCATGTCTACTCCGACTCTTGCGGTATCAAACTTGTTGTTTCCACATAATAATATATAACAGCGAGGATAGGGTAATTAAATTATTAAATTTTTAAGAAACAAAAAGCTTATTATACCCATTTGCTTCTGCTTCTTACAACATTCCGGCTGTTCTAGTATTTATGGTAGGAATTTTTTCAGCAAAACACGAAAATTGAACTGTTTTAGTATCTATGGTAGGAATTTTTTATTCTCAGAATTAGTCTGAATTAATAATGTTGGTTAGTAGTTATATGAGGGGAGGAAATTGTTACATTTATAAGTTGTGATAGTTATGCTAAACATAATATCAACTCCAATGGTTACGCATTTAAATGGGCTTTTCAATGATCGGTTCGAATATATTCTCATAGCTTGATCATCACCACTACATTGCTAGAAAACTTGACGTGTTCCATTTCACATTGGTAAATCGATAGATGATTTCAACTTATTAACGACGAGATATTGTGTGTAATTACACTTATCACAATGAAGACATATCAAAATAGACTATGTTGTATGTTCCTATACTTGTTCGTAAATTGTTGAGCATGAATCTTGAGCCTCAAACAATATCCAAAATCGGCAAATGTTGATCCTAAAAAAATGTGTTTTCTACTCTTCTCAATACATCAAGTACTAACTTTAAATAACAACATTCAGACAAGTGTTGAAGGGTGATTATTGCCGGTTTACGAATTTATAACCTATTGTAAAAGAGCACACATGTACGGAACCAAATACGTTGGGGAAGCGGAGCATATAGTAGCAGGGGAATTTGAAAAAAAAAAAAAAAAAAAAAAAAAAAAAAAAAAAAAAACAAGATTTAGAACGGCATAACTTGGAGGGCAAGAAAGAGTGTCAAACTTTTTCTTCCTAATCGAAAAATGGGTTTAGCTAAAGTCCTACATAAAGATGCGGAGTACCATTGTTAAATGCACGAGAGTACAGGTGAATGCGTTACGAAGAACAATTTGAATATGGAAAAAGAGCTCACTTTCAGAAAACCAAAAGCACCTCGCAAGACCATTTTCATACATGACAACAAAATTAACGCATGAGGCTATGGGTTAGCTGTTTCATTATTTTACGCAATGTAGTCAAAATCGAGATCTAAATCGTAAAATCGCAAGACTTGAAGATTTTACACACTGAAAAGGAGTAAGATCGCACTAAATTCGCAAGTGCCTTAAAATCGCGTTCAAAATCGTTAAAAACGCGATTTTAGTGCGATTTTGGTTTTTGTCAAGAATTTGGCTGAAATTTTGGATTCTAGCCCAATAAATTCAGTTTTTTAACAAAAAAAATTTAGCCAATTACCAAATAATCCAGAATATATAAAGCTCAGCCCTAATTTGCCTTAAAATAACAATCTATCACGACGAGAAGAAAATACTTCTCTTCTGCTAAAAAAAACATCCAGCAGCTGTGAGCATCAATTTCAGTTATCTCCCAACACAATTTATGTTAGACTATGTCTAACTAATGTTAAAACATGTTTTGTTAATGTTGGGATGTTTTAATATTTGTTAGGACATATTTTATGTATATTATGACTTAATTTATTTGTGTTACGGATGTTTTCTAAGTAGTAAGTACTAAAGATATTTATTTTACAATACATACGATTTTACGTTTCCTATTTCACTTAAAATCCCGATTTTGACTACCTTGATCTTACGGATGCAAAATAAACAGTCAGATTGCTCATCGGTATATATATACGAGTATGGTCAAACCAGGAAGTAGATGCTCATAAAGCCACGAATCAAATAAATTATATCAGGGATAATAATGCATTCCCTCATTTTGGATCAAAGCACCAATTTTTCTTCACTATTGTTCAAGCAAAAGCAACAAAATCAAAAGAATGCATGCATTGCAAACCACCAAACCCAATATGGAACAAAAAAATGTAAATATTTTAATTAATTACAAAACTGACCTTTGATTTATAGGGATGTACAGTGGGGTTGTCACACTCCTAGAGGTCCTCCTTCACACTCGCTATAAAAGAAAATCCGGAATAACCGACGACTGAGCTGGCAACGCCCCACCATCTCCTCTCTGTCGAGACTTTCGCTTTGGCTTTTCCCTTTGACCTTGACCGTCGTGTTCTTTATCCTTCCCGGTACTTTGACTTTTTCTCTCTTTACCATGACCATGCTGCTGCTTATTTCTCTCTCTCGATTTCTTTGACGATTCTCTTTTTCTTGATGATGACGATGTTGCAGTAGCTTCATTGCCTAAAAGCACTTCTTGCACAGCACCTGAAATTAGATCGCCACCCTCGACCTCGCGTTTCTTGGCCGAAACATTAAACCCTTCTCCGTCGTCCAATTTCACAACAACGGGCCTGATCCTCGCCTGATTCGGTTTCTTCTTAATGACGAGTGATTCTTCTGTTAACCTCGCAAGATCTTCCGCTTCGTCAGCATCCTTATCTTTAGGATCGATAGCAGGCGGATAGTCGTTCGATACCGTCCCTGCATTTTCCGAAGATAGGTAATATAGGCCGTGCCTCTTTCTATGCTCTGCAAGTAGAGACGTAGACTCGGTCAACGTTTCGGATTCTTCCTTACTGGTGCAATCTGAAGTGCCGGCGGCATCCATTTTTTGAAGTTTGACTATCGAAAATGAAGACGGTAACGAAAACTCTGTATCACCACCGCATATATCGTCCAAGTCACCAAGATTTTCTTTGAGCACTAATCCATCGGGTATCGGTACCCTCTCTTGGGCATTAACAGAAACCGGACCAAGATCCTCGGAAAACGCATCGAAAATCAGCTTCACCATTTCGGAAGCTTCTACCTCTCCTTTTACGTTATCTCCTTCACTCCCGAATACTATTAGTTTTATCAACTTAATCAATCCAAGAACATTGCTCGCTCGCTCCTGCACTTCTACTTCGTTACTCCCGGCTAACGGTCCCAAGTTAGTTTCGACAAGATTCATTAAATTCACGAAGGATTCTTTCGTAAAACGATGCATACTTGAAGAAGCAACAACCACATTACCATTACCGTTATCTAGTTCAGTATCGGATAATAGTTGACTTGCTACAGTGTCGACACTTAACTTGAGATACAAAGATAGACAGAAAGTCAACACTTTAAATGCCGATTGAATATACACAGCTCTCACCGATGGAGTGAGGAGACTAGTTCTTGGCTGTAGCAGTGCTTCCATGATCTCAAAAGGGTTTCTTGAAAGCTCGATGTACTCTCCCGAAACCCAAGCAGCAGCACCTAAAACTCCATGTATAAACGAATTACCAAGCAACGCTGGATCGATCACAAGCTCACGAGCAATATGAACGAGCTGAACCCTAGCATCCTTAACCCTCATACCAATATCAACAAGCTGGTTCTCGATTTCGTTCCCTTTCCGACAATGCGGAATCCTCGCCATTTCTCCAAGAAAAGACACGTACCAATCGAAATCAAAGACCACCTCGTAGAAATTCCTCGAACAAGTCAACAAGACGTGGCCCAAAATCTCGTTACAGAACTCCGGGTCGGACTTGAGTGCCTGACTGATCAAGATCCTAGAGATTTCCATTACGTTATCCTCCGAAACCATACACATCACGAGGCGCAACGCCTCGACTTTAATGTTTACATCGACGTCGCTCAAGGCCTTAACTACCAACTCCTTGTTCTCCAAGACCGCCCACATATTCGTCTTCGAAACAATTGTGAGCCCTTGCAGACCGAGATACTTCAGATTCGGATCATCTTCTAACAGAAACTCCCTCAGCTTAGCAACTGCGAGCTTCACTGCGGAATCGTACTCGCTCAAACTAGTCACAATCATTCGAACGCACTCGAACGCTAACGATTTAGCACCAGTTCTCGCCATGTGGTCGCAGATAGGCTCCACCACCCTCTTACCCAACCTTGGCTCTAAAGGTGCCAACTTTGCAAAAATCTTGATCACTTTAATCAAGACCCAATTGTTTCTGCAGTCCACTAAGATTTTGTAAAACTCGGGGGCCAAGGGTAAATACGATCTGGGTTCTTTCTCTGTGAGCTCGCAGAACAAACCGACAACGGCCGACAAGATTCCCATGTCGTCGCTCTCGAGATTCTCAACGACTCTCTTGAAGCATACGCGGACGGCGTCGGGGTACTGCTCGAAAACCCTCAATACGGCGGCGATCGCCTTCTTCCTGACGAAGGGTTTGCCGCTGGCGAGGAGGGCGAACACGTCGGGGGTGAGATCGCGGGCCAAGTCGGGGTTGCAGATGGCGGAGAGGGTGGAGAGGGCGAGGCTGACGTCATGGGGGTTGGCGGAGGAGAGATCCTTGCGGAGCTGGTGGGTGAGGAGGAGGATGACCTGGGTGGTGGAGGGGTTGAAGGAGAGGGAGGCGGAGAGGAAGGCGACGCGCTTGTATGAGTGGGCGGCGGAGGAGGAGAGCTCGACGGAGTGGAAGGCGGCCCACGACATCTCGGCGGAGTGGAGGGAGTGGAGGTAGGTGAGCTTGTGGAGGGCGGTGGCTTTGGTTTGAGGGTCGGTGGATTTGATCTCGCGGCGGATCTCGTCGAGGGATTTGGAGATGAAGATTGACTCCGTGCCTGGTGGGCAGAGGCGGAGGCCTTTGATTACATCGTCTATCGAGCGCTGGAACAATGAGTCCATCAGTGAAGGAACCACCGCCATTCTTTCATTCAGTTTCTGCTCTCTCTTCTTCTGGTTTAATTGGAAGAAGAGGAAAGAGCCGATTTGGGGGAAATGCGGAAGAAGCCGGCTGAACGTGCAACTCACGTGCTCTGAGTAATTTTCATTTAAATCAGCACCAATTTAACTTTGTAAAATTAGTAGAAAACAAAAAAGGGTTAAATTACGGTCGCCTCTTGTTTGGTAATTATAATCACCTCTCTTTTTAAATATTTTTACATAAAATTTATGTAATTTGATCATTTACAGAATTAAATTGTATATTTAGTTCGGTAAACGGTATGAAATATTGGCGTACCAAAATTTCGGTTCGGTTTTACCGATTTAACATCCATAAATTTACCTCTTGAGGGTTTTTTTTCGTAAGATAATACATAGTTGAGGAGGTGGCTGTAATTACCCGAACAAAAGGGGTTTTTTTGTAATTAGATCATAACTCAGGGATGGTTGTAATTTGCCAAAAAATAAAATAAAAAGAAATCATCTATTTCCAACCTTAAAATATCTTATTTCACCATCAAATTAAGGGGAAATATGCAATAACCCCCTCAAATGAAAAATATTTTGAACTAAACACAATTGACTTTAAAGACTTTTTTCATAACCCAAATGTCAATTTAAATTAATGAGACCCCCTTAAAAATATGTTATCCATATTTTACCCTTTTAATACACATCGCAACCCTAGATCTCAAACCCACAATCTGTCTTTATTTCTCGTTATTCTTCTCCAAGCCTACCATCAACATCCACAATTCTCGTTTTTCTCTCTCTCTCTCTCTCTCTCTCAATTTCTGTATCTATCTCCTCTCAATCTCTCTCGGCGTCGGTGTCGGGAGGCTGACGATGGCGGCCGGAGAAGGTGCGATTGCTAGGCAAGTGCACACAAATCGATGAACAGTGGAGAAACGGCAACGACGCGGAGGCGATGCAGAAGGCTGATAAGTGTTCGTTTTGCACGATTTTTGCTTATCGAATATTCGAGTTTTGGTCTTCGTTCGTCCGAGTTTTCGGCTTTATTTGTATATATTATGTTGTTTTTGTTTTATTTATATTTTAGGTAAAGAGAAGCTATTTTTTTTCCGATTCGAAACGATTTTGGAAGCGAAGCCGAAAATCGAACCAAACACGTGCAAAAGTGCATTCTCGCGGATTGTGTCAGTATTTGGTATTTCAAGCATAACTTTTGCATACAACCTCCGATTGAGCTGATTCAAGTGTCCTTAGAAAGCTAACTACAAGATGTACAACTTTTTTGAAATTCAAAATTGTCAAATTCGGGCTAATAAAGGGTCAAAAGAGTGTTTGAAGTTGGCGCAGAAGCCCAGATCGCGATCCAACATTCCTGTATCGCGATCTGGGGGGTCTTACGGAAGGCTTTCTTGATCAGGACCCAGATCGCGATCCAACCTTCCTGGATCACGATCTGGAGGGTCTCACAGAACATTTTTTGATCAAGAACCAGATCGCGATCCACCATTCCCGTATCGCGATCTAGCAAGGCGGTGCGCAGTTTCCAAGGCTGCCAGATTGCGATCCAAGAAGCCCAGATCGCGATCTGGGCACAGAATTCGAGACGAGATATTTTTCTTTGATTTTTTTATTATAAATAGAAGGTCTCTTCTTCATTTTTACATATCAAGACATAACTCTCGACGTTTTTTTCGGTTTTGTCCTCGGTTTTCGCCTGTTCTTCGCGGGAAGTTTCGACGAGGGTTTCGACTCAGCTTTTCTTTACGTTTAGTTTATGATTTCTCGTGTTCTTCATTTTGATGCTATGTTTGTAATGAACTGAGCATTTTCTTTTAGGGAAATGAAACCTTGTATATATTGATTTGATTTCCAGATCTGTGATCTATTTGTCGTTCTTTGATTATGTTTATGTTTTCCTGTATTAAATGCTTTCGATTGTTTGGCCAACAGTTGAATTGATTGTGAATGGGAATGAACTTGAGAGAGGATTTCTCGTTTGATTTTAGGAAAACATAGCTCGGGTTGTGGAAACAGAGATGTGATGCACATCGGGTAGCCCTTAAGGACTTGACCTAAATGCTTTCATTAATATCAGGTTCTGAACGGAGACGTCGGACCTGTGGGTAGACTCTAACTACACTGGAGACGGGGGTTAGGGTACTTTAGTGTCTGGGTTAGGTAATATAGAATTGACATTAGATTCGGATTTGTAGATCTTTATCGATAGTACATTGGTGGATTTTACCCTAGAAGCCATCGCACGTCGGAATTCCTCGCTTGTACTGGCGGACCATTGTTTTTATTTACTGTTTCTTTTTAGCTTCATTTGTCCCATTCGTTTGTTCGTCTATATAAAGTTTAGGATAGTGTAATCACGGTACTTGGTAAATTTAGGAACTTAATTCCCTGTGGATCGATATCTGGAATTCACTATTCTACAAAACGCGATACTGTACACTTGCGGTTATTCATACGTAGGTTTTACGCGTATCAAATGCGTCGACGGCGAAATTCTGATATGAGGGCGCAACCGCAGTTGTTGAGTCCTCCACCGCTGGCGCTGCCGCCACTACCGCCAAGATTCGAGTCTACTTTGTGAAAGGTGTCATGTATTTAATTTCTTCTCTTTTTGCTTTTATTTTCTGCAAATGAGTTTGATTTCAAGTTGCAATTGAAATTGAAAGGGAAAAGAGATACTTTTTATTTATTTATTTATTTTTCTCCAGATCTGAACATAGAGTTTCAGATTAAACATGACTATAGTCATGTTCGAATATGACTATTATTGAATATGACTGTAGTCATATTCGAATATGTTATATCTTCTCGTTTCAAATTATATTTTTTTGTGTGGATGTTGATTGGATTATTTTCGTAAACAATAGGGAATCTTGGTTGTTTTATATAATTTGATAAACATGACTTACCACACTATACAAATCTGGAAAATTGGTGTTTTCTCTACTTCTAAGAATTTCAGATTTGCTTTCGTGTTGTAATCTCTAATAATTGGTGTTTTGTCTGAATGATTGGATAGTAACAAGGTTAGATAAATCGTGGTTGAGCCCTGGTAGTGGATGAAGAGGTAATTAATCTGGTGATTTAATTGGGGTTGGGGCATTTCGAACGGAAACGGGATATAATAGTACGCGAAAAAATGATTGGATGACATAAAGAAATTGAAAACCAGGCTATATCAGCTCAGGAATGGATTCTGCAAATAATAATTCAAGTACTCTCAGCCCTCTTGCGAAAGATAGGCATTCAGGCCAGTTTGTTTATAATTATTTTCAATGTTTCGTTATTTTTTTCTTTTTTTTGAATTCTGATCGTAAAAAAGGCCTTTTTCGATTGTGTTTCGTTTGTATTGGTGGCGATAATATAGATATGGAATTGATGAAGGAGAAGTTGCAAAGTTGCTTCTAGGAGAGGATATGTCGGGTGGAGGGAAAGGTGTTTTGTCGGCTTTGGCGTAGTCGAATGCAATTACGAATTTAGTAGGTATCTCAATTTTTTTTTACCTTAATCTTTACAAAAAGAATTTGAGCAGCATCAAGAATGTTGAAAATTCTGAAGGAAATAATTTTTTTTTTGTTTTTTTTTTTGTATGTAATGATATGTTTATGTGAATGAACGTTTAGCATCTGCATTTTTTTTTTCATTGCCTTTTGTTTTATGACTTTGAGTTTGGTTTATATAGATATATTTGCTCCTTGTTGCTACAATTTTGATGGAATTTGCCGCACAGTCTTCAAGAGGAATTAACAAGGACATCCCCGAGCATTCCAAAGAACTATCTCCCATCAAGAATTAATAGTAACATGACTATAGTCATACTCGAATATGACTATTGTTGAATGTGACTGTAGTCATATTCGAATATGACTATTGTTGAATGTGACTGTAGTCATATTCGAATATGTTATATCTTCTCATTCAAGTTGATTTGTAATAATAACATTCAAATTGTATTTTTTTTAAAAGATGTTGATTGGATGGTTTTCGTGCAATTTTTGTTTTTTTTATATAATTTGGTAAAAAAGACTATACTATAGTATATAATCGGAATTATTAAGTTGAAAATATAAAAACGACAATATAAAGAAAGAATATGATTACAGTTGATATAGTCACATATAGTCCTATTCAACTATAGTCATATTCGGCGTAGTAAAATTATCGGTGGAAAAAATCAATTTTTCGTTTAAACAGAATTTATAAGAATTATTATATATATATATATATATATATATATATATATATATATATATATATATATATATATATATATACACACACACACACAGAGCTGGGATATTGAGTAGGAAATAAAATCCCTATTATATTGGCATTATTAAGGAAGGTGGGAGGAATTATTGGATAGGAGATTTTATAATTTCTGAAGGGTAGTATTGGAATTAAAATTTCTAGAGGGTTATCACAAAGGAAGATTTAAGGGTTGGACATATCACCATTTATTATTCATCTAAGGGGTTTATTATTAAAGGCCCCTCAAATTAAATGTTTTTTATATATATATGCTCTTTTTTTTCAACTACATTATGTACAAATTCATAAATTGTCCATCACCAAATCAATTAGAATATTCATCACTCTACCATTTTCCATTAGAATATTTACCACAAAATTCCACCATCTCCACCTTAAGTGAACGATACCTTCGCCAGAGAAAAACATCTAAATGTCAAAAGGAGTAGGAATTCACGTCCTCCAAATACCTCGACTTTTTTAGAACAGGTTCGAGTCAAATAGCAATGATTTGAAGCACTCATTTTTACACTATTTCGGAAACCCAAGGACTCAATCGTATGGATATGTAAAATACATGATTTCCAATCCTAGCAGTAAAGGGAGGGAAACGGATAAACTAAGCAGTGTTCTAAAAACCGACAGATTAATCGGTCTCCGAGGCGGAGGCGGTCCCAAACCCTTACAATTTTAGTGTAAATGTTTGAAAAATCGGTTTTTTGCCTCTGAGGCGGTTTTAGGCGGTCAAATATTTAAAACGGG